GCAGACTGTCAATCCCTGTTTGTTATGTTGACTAGAAAACTTTGGCCAARTCAAATCGGCCACACACCAATTCAGTGTCAACCCCGTTTGTAAAGGGTGTCAGAAAACTTTGGCAGAGAGACAACGCGGCCACACTATTATGAAGCGAGGTTATTTTATCTAGTGTGCGCGCATTTATATCAGGGTTGACATTTTTGAGACGACGCGAATGGAAAAGAATTAACGTTTTTGCGCCGTAATCACTCTAAATTGATCTTTTGAAMGTACCTTAGACATTATCTCTTTGGGAATGACAGTCAACTCATGTTCCAATACGCTGTTTTTTGTCATCAAATCTTGGGCGGATTTTTCCATTGCATGGAGTTTTTCTAGGAGATTTTTTCGCTCATTTCTTCCTCTTTCCAACAATCGTCTGAGCAGGGGAACTGAACATGCCTCAGAAATCAAAGAAGCGATAGTAGCGTTCTTCTTGTCCATCTGGGGATTTAAAAGTAGTGACTTTCGTGTCGATCATATTACTTTATTCCAAGGGAAGTTAAGGAACTGAGGTGTAGCTTTAGTTACAAAATATTGTAGCCAAGCAATCGTTCTTGCGATTCGAGTGCTTTCTCTTTATGAACCCTTAGCAAATAAAGACTTAATGTTCAGTTACAAAATCAGGTCAAACGTCGAACTTCACATGAGCCGAACCTAATTCAACAATGGATAATAAGGCGGTCTTCTTTGATGTCATGATGTCATTTGACCTTTAGTTACTTGCCTCTTCGAGGAGACACTTATTTCGTCTTTCAAGCCGTGTGCCCCGCGCACGTAGGTCTCGAATCATCCCCGAAGCCTCGAATCGAACATTATTCAGCTCTAAGTTTCTGTCCGCGACTATCTGCATGAATCTGTCCAAGTGTTCCCGAAGTCGCATGTTCTCGCGTTCTTGTTGGACWATGATTTGATCTTTTTGGCCAAGCTTGATTTCCAGTGATTGGAGGGTGGTAAAGAGATTTGTAACCTGTTCCTGGTGATAACAAAATAAGGTGAAGTAAGGACGGTTTGGGGAGGGGGGGGGGGTTATAAATAACAGGAATAAAGGATTAGGTAAAACCTAAAAAACGACACTATATGATGATTTTCTAAGTAACAGTCACCCCACTAGATTCGCCAAAGTGACTTTATTATTATTTTACTTTGATAGTATTATTACACGCTGTAAGTAAATTTTTTTCGATTTGCTCTAGCCTTGAGATTCAAAGTCAAATCTTCATTTTATTTGGCTTATGGAGATTAATCGTAATTAACCGAATCCTCAAACGACCTTTAGATTGATTTGTCATCGCACAGCTATAGCCTCAGATCGTAATGGAATTTAGCGTATTAGGCTTTTACTGAAGGAGAACAATCCGATCCAGAAAAACTCTCGTATCAAGGAAGAGACCCAAAACACTCTACTCAGATGGCATGCCGGGACTACAGAGGTTAGAGGCGAGTGCACTGCTGCTAAGCGTGCCACCCTTGACTCCAACATTGTCTAGATAAATACCTGATGAGAGACAGCTCT